CAATGAATGGGGACGAGTACTCTTTACGGATGAGAGCAGATTCAGTCTGAGTAGCGATTCTCATCGCATACTCATCTGGAGAGAGCGGGAACCGCAATCAATCATCCCTCGAACATCATTGAAAGGGACAGGTATGGAGGTGGCGGTGTTCTCGTTTGGGGAAGCATCATGCTTGGTAGTCGTACAGACCTTCATATCTTCGACGCAGGTTCAGTCAACGGGACCCGTTATTGTAACGAGATTCTTCTTCCATATGTGCGTCTTTTTAGAGGCGCTATGGGTCCGCAGTTCCTTTTCATGGACGACAATGCACCATGTCATCGCACAGTAGCTGCCGAACAGCTCTTAGAGAGTGAGGATATTGAACGTATGGATTGGCCGGCACGATCTCCGGATCTCAATCCCATCGAGCATGTATGGATTTCTAGGCAGACGCTTGGCAGCTCGTACCTTACCACCAGTAACGATTCCGGAGCTTCGATTGGACGCTGCAAGACGAATGGGCAGCAATTGCCTCAACTCATTGCACCCTCATTCTCAGCATGGGCAGACGCTGTGAAACCTGCCTAGCAGTCAGGGGAGATCATATCCCTAATAAAGACCGTATGTTTCTTGCTGGACACCCATCACAGGGATGTTTCGGCCTTCAGTCGCATTGCGCTCCATGCTACTTTTTCAATAAAGCTTCTTTTTATCCCTCTGATTTCTCTTGTAGTAAGTGTTGCTTACATTACTCATGTCCTTACGTATTGGGGATTTACGGTATTAAATGTGTTGATTTTGAAAGCTTTTGTACAAAGTTATATTGAAAAAACCGTCTCGTCCTTAATTTTTGCACACCAGTGTATGTTGTGACATCATTAAGAAACCTATGCTTTGATGTGATTCATTCATACCCTGATGGACTGAGGTTCCAGCGCGTGGGGTTTCTGGTGACTTTTATATTAATAAATACTTTTTCTTATTCGTGTTATATTTTTCCATTTCATGTTTCTGGTTATCTACATTCTTTCCAGAAACAATTCGCTTTGATTTTGAATCTAAGTGCTCGGCAAAGGTAATAAAATTTAGTGTCTCAGAGATATTTTTTATTTCAAACATTTAAATTACTTATTTTTCTAATAATTTTATTACGCAAGTTGAAAAGTATAGTTAAGGAGCAGTTTTGTAAAATTATTTTGATCCATATATTTCAAAACCTGAAGCATACTAAATTGAAAACTTTTAGTCTTCCATAATTAGTTTGATGTGAAATAGTTAAAATGTTTTCAACGAAATGAAGGCTAGAGATTTAACTTGTGATTTGTGCTGATAGAAATGTCAGGTTAAATAAAAGTATCAAAATAATATGCATTTTTCGTTATAATTTAAATAGTTTTATTCGACTAATTTATTTCGTTTCTCTGTTTCCAAGTTCTTAATCTTGTTAAATTTCAAAACATGTTAAAATTGCTTGCAAATACTGGTTTTTAAAGAAATATATTTTCATCAAGCAGTGATTCAAGTATAAATCAGATATTTTCAACGTCTGGGTGTGTCCCCTGGGGGGATGTAGTAACTCAAACCGTAGTAAATTCCATCCTCATGTAATTTAGAGCGGTTCTATTCTAGAAAAACAGCAGTTTCATCTCTTAATTCATAAACAAGTTTCAAACATTTCTCCCGTGAATACTATCTTGCCTCGCAATAAAATTGTAACGCTGAATGTACTGCACTCATGTCTTTACCAAGTGCATAAAAGATTCTTGACTTTAGATCATAAAATGTGACTACAGATCATAAAATGCGTCCAGACGCACTGTGAAGATTTTTGTTTCACAAGGGCTTGTATACTCTGGAACTTTCATACACACATAGTACAGTACTACTTGTACTGGAAACTTTCATACACACATCGCGAACTATCTATGCATATTCCGACGTAATTTTTCCCATTTCTATTTGCCTACTTTATAAAATCATTTAAGATAGCAAATAGTACAGGTGCTGTTGCTTTGAGTTCTATTGGTTTGCAAAAGCGTTGTTCTACTGCTGTCGACATATCATAAGAAAATCGAACATAGGTAATGAAATGAGCATCTTTATTGCTATCAGTAGCCTCATCTAGCTGAACTGAAAGCAACTTTTCATGTAACTTCCCAAAAACCTGATGCTTTGTATCTTTAGCTATATTACTAGTTCGAAGAGCAACAGTATCATTTGTAAAAAGTATGGACTGCAATTGTTTGGCAAAATTATCTCCATAGTTTCTACAATCTCAGTTGCAGCTGGAATAATAAGGCTCTTCACCAATGGTGTTTTACGTCTGGCTATTTTATATGAAACTTATAACAGGCAAAGCTTTTCCATTCACAGACAAATTTAAAAAAAAAATATGTTTGCTTTTCTTTATTCGAAAAATTTTCAGAGTTTGTTAACGCACTTCGTGTGAAGCGCTTCCAAGTGTCGTTTAAGTTTATTAGATTTTAAATCGCCTGCTGCCAAACATTTTGAGCAAATGACACAAAGGACCCCAAAATTTAAGTATTCTTGAGAATATTTTCTTGATTTTATTTTTGAAACCACACTCGTAGGTGCCCTTGTTGATGCTTCACTATCCTCTAATGCTCTCTTAAGCGCACTTAAAAATTTATGCATGATTATGTGTAAATCTATTGCCATGAATATTTAAAGCCGTGGTTTGGAATTAACACGCAAATTGCAACGTACATATTCCGCCAACAGCTTCCTGTGAGGGCGGATAAAAAGGTCAATCCCATCTTTACCTATTTCCCTACCAGTTAACAGATTCATATCTTCTAAGGAATCCTAGTTTAGAAGGAGCTTTGTTTCTATTTCTATGATATGCAGTCGAAAATAAGCATATAATTGCGAATGCTATTGATTTATTCGCTTTCAGAAGTCAAGAGCTATGCAGCGCAAATTAGCCACCAGGAAAGTACTTCAGTAACGACGAAACAAAGCGATTAAATGCAGATACAATATATGCGCTTGTAACTTCCCAGAAAAGCAACAAACATATAACATTCATAAAATAGTGTAAAGGGCTAATATCTACTTATATAGGGTAAATAATAGGCGATAGATTCGATGCAACGTCCAGACTGAGACTGGCTGGAACTGAATGAGATGCAACATTTATACACAATGAAATTGCGGTCGCTGAGACGTTCCAGGATGTTCGAGACAAATGGGAAAGTCTAGGAAAGGCGCAAGGATATCCGATATGATGTACGTAGGACAGAGAACAATAGAGTGGCATCAATTCTGGTTTTGTCAATCCAACGAATCGGTGTTGTTAATAAGTTTTATTATGGTTAATTTGAAAGTTTTGTAATTAAGGTTCGGTATTGTAAGCGCAGCTTTAGTGTCAAAATACTTAGAGTATGTTATTATAGTATGCATTGGTTTCGTAAGAGAGGAGACAATTGAAAATTATGATTGAAAAAATTGGGTTGTATATAGTAAAAGATAGAAGACGTTGGTCTAAAATGTAACTAAAGCCTCTGCTCAAATTTCAAATCAGGGCGTAAAGAAGAAAAATGAAGTGTTTAATAGCTAATTGGTTTAATAATATTTCTTAAATTGCATTTATGAATTCAGACAAAAGTTTGATGCATTCCTTTCCAATATATATCTTGTCATATTTGTCATCATTTAACTTTTCACTGAAAGTCCGCAAACAGTTACGCATAGTATAATAATCTTTTCCAGACCAAACAAAATTCTTAATAAATCATTTCAATTATTATATCTTTTATGCTGTTTTCTTCGTGTTTATTTGACTTGCTTTAAGTACGGAATTGCCGTTGTACGCTGTCAGCACACAAAAGCAAGAGAAGTTAATCGCGAACGACCAATTTCGTGTTTATATACAAGTCTGAAGCTAAAACATGCTATATTCTATAATAGAAAAAAAGCGTTATAAATAAACACATATATAAACCACTGAATGTTTCCTCCTGTCAGAGTTTAATTACCGAAGCTCATAAAAACCTTGTAAAATATTATGAATCAATGAGCAGAGTATTGATTTTTCTATGTTCAATAAAACAATAGAAATAAGTATCTTATTTAAAAGAATGATAATCTGTTACCTTTATGTACAAAATATCTTAAATAAGTAGATTAAAGTAAAGTACTTTAAGAATCCGGCTCTCTGAATTTATGGCTTGCTACATATAAGGCTCGTAAAAATTAGTTATTTAAAAGGTATGGTTTAAAATAATTTTACTTATTAAAATATGTCAGTAATGCTTTACGCTTTAGACATAGCACAACAGTGACCGAGTGGGAAGACCACTAAATACTTTGTACCTCCACTCGGCTTCATAGTCAGGAGAACAAGCTGCTTACGAAAGGGATTTCAATATATTCCCACGTGTAGAGCAAATACGTGCTAGTCTAATCCTATAATGTTTTATACTGTAATCTGAAAATTCTTATAAATTATTCTATTAGAACATCAATTCTTTACATTGAATTGCTTTGCTATCGTAAGATAGTAAAACTGTTTTTAATTTTTTATTTTTAAAGATGCTCTTAGTAGAGTTTGCGAATTTCCCCTAACACCTTCATAATTTCACTTCAAGGTAAAACCGAAATAGTATACTTTATTCGTTAATTATATTATTAAGGAAGTTTATCTTTCAAAGGTGAAAGTTGTACTAGTTGACAAGATAATTTAACGCTTGTCTAATTAAATCCATTTCGCTGAAATATGACGTGTACAGAAATTTTAGTTCTTGAAATTTTATTCCATTTACATAAATTTGTGCAGTCTCACCTCTTTTTATTTAAACAGTACCGTTTACAAATTATTTTCTTGTGCATTAGGTTGATATTTAAGAGTTTTTCATCCATCATGATATTACAACTATCTTAAAGTTATCGAATCTTCTTTTCAAATCATTGTTAAAAGTTTTACTCTGCCGTCGTGTTTTATGAATTTGGGACTTATAGATTCAATCTCTAAAATATATTTACTCTTTATTTTTTAGGGTATGCTATAAAGAAGTGTTGGGAAAATGGAACATGGTTCATCAACGAATGGAACAATGAATGGACTAATTATAGTGGCTGTGGTCGTGTAGAGGTATGAGTTTCTATCCATTCATTTTCTCCACATAACATGAGTAAAATGAGAGCATATTTCAATACCAATAAGCTCGCCGATTGTAAAATGGCTAAAAAATATATGTAGCCTTCTCATATTCCTTTACCTCCATCTAAACGTGCTGTTTACATGAGGTTGTCGTGGGTTTCTTTATGTAACGCAAATACAAGACAGTTTCTGTTGGATAGCCTTTATCTCAGGCTTATATGTTTGATATTATTAACCAACCAATCATTATTAAACAATAGTTAATTTCAAATTATATAGGCGTCAGCATATGAAGAAGTTATTGCATTGTAAACGGCCCAAAAATTTTACTTAAGTTTTGATGACTAATCAGAATTGTTAAATAATAATATTATAGTATACTTCCTAATTTTTCGTCTTCCTTAGTCACTACTAAGCGGCTGTAAATGACAGTATACTTTTTTTTTCTGAAAATTCCCTGAAACTCCTGAACTTTCTTTTAGGAAACAATCAACTATGCTTATTCCTTTCACAGCCTAGCTCCGGTATTCTCAAATTTTGAAATCGTAATTCCATCTAGACCGCATTCAAGTTCGAAATACGACGAACTCCCATACTGTGTTATATGATAGAATCATAGTATAAAATTCATTTATGAGCGCAATATATTATTTAAAAGTTAGTACATAACTTTCATTTAGTTTTATTTATTATTTATTTTATAATGATAACATAATTTTTATTTAATATTTTAGTTTACAGTTAGTAAATAATTCTCTTTCGTTGGAAAGAGAAAATAAACGGGAAATTTGAAAAACTGAGTAAGAAATCTTTATTGAAATTCGTTGAAAAACTTCATCGATTTCTTTAAGAAGGGCAATTGTATAAGTTGAATCGCTTTGATCCAGATGACTTGAGATGTACGCAGAGAAGATTAAGCCAAAAGGAAGATGCAATTCTATCTGACCGCCACATAGCCTATTCAAAATATTTATCTATATTTTAACCTGCCTATCAAATCTTGCCAGTATTAATTTAATCGGCTTTTTATTTGTTTCATTATTTCATTTAATTTCTGTGGTTTTAAATTTCATAAATTCTTCTTTATCATTAACTTATCTTAATTTTACTAATACGGTTATTCATCTCTGTGTACTTTATTTAAAATTCATTAATTATTGTTTCATTTTGTTCCTTTTTGGTTTTGCTCTTCCGATAGAAATACAGCAGTTCTGATTTTAGAAATTGAGCCGTGGGTGTATATTTAATTTTAAAATATCAGAATATAAACATATAATATAAATGGTGTGTGATGTTGCCTCTAAAGAAAAGCTCATTTTTTGTTTAAAATATACATTTAAACAAATTTAGTGTAACACACAAAGAGAAGTTTATCTTTCAACTGATTTCCAATTTCATCCTTGAAAACCATTAGAAGTCATCCAGATCATAATCTAACAACATTTGTCTAGATATAATTCATTAACATTGTGTATTTATGATCATATATTCAATGAGATCTTCCTTTTCAGTGTTTTCTAAAGGAATAAATAATTTTCCTTTTATTGTAGTTGAAATTTTCTAACGCTTTTTCTTATTTTATTATAGGGCATTCGTAGATTGCAAATATTTCATATTGCTACTTATGCTGTATCCATATTCTTCTTGTTGCCAGCTTTATTCATATTTGGAACTTACAAGTAAGTAATAAACTTGTTATTATTCAGATTTAACATTATGTTCAGTTTACGTTAGGATTCGCAAATAAAGAGCTGTATGTTTTTCGTTATATGAATTATTGAGAACAATAGCCAAGTAAAGACGTTACACACACACACACACACACACATATATATATATATATTGTTACGTTTTTCCTTTTCTGACACCAGTTGTTGTATTATTTTCTTCGTTCACGTTCGTACGAGGTTCGTGGAATTGGAGTGAATAACGACGACACTTGATGAAGTATCGAAACACACTTTATTTAGCCAATGTTAATCAGGACAGCTCTAAAAATACTTTTTACAGACGTCTATATAAACACGAGATCTACTATAAACACGTTGGAACAATCAGTGACACAGCCTTCACACTGTCAGAAAATAACGGTGGAGACAGCTTCACTGCAAAGCACCCGAGTACAGCTCCCAACTCTGCTTGTTTGTTCTCGGAACTCCACGTATTCTCAAGACTCTCCACACGACGATACAGAAGAGTATAGCTCTCGACTCAGCACAGTCTATGACGAAACTCGACGATGCACTAATTTGTGATGCACTAAAAGACTCTCTCGATGCACTCGACGACCACCTCGGCGCTAGACTTCGAGACACTCGCTCAATGACTAACTGTCACCTCGCTAGACGAGGCACACACACACTCGTAAGTACTGCGGACCAGCAGGGTTTGTATAGCTTTCGGTTTGTGTTCGGGAACATTCTGGGGTAAACCGGTAAGAATTCGTTCCGGAAGGTTCTCCAACCGTCCATAGTATATCGCCAATTTTGTCGCCAAATGTCGCCAAACGGGCAAGTTCTCGCCAAATACGGCAACCCTGCCCTCTTTGCTATTTTATGGCAACCCTAAAACTGCTTTGCGGGGAAGCCATCTCACCGCGCCTTTACATTTCGTAACACTGTCCCGTCCCAAGGACTGCACGTCCGGGGCATAAAAGGAGAAAAACATAAAAGGAGAACATAAAAGGAGGGCAGTACAACCCTCGGTCAGAAGCCTAATTCGAAGAAAACGTAATGAAACAAACATAAGGTATAAATAAATAGCATAACTAAAGAAACAGATATTTACAGTATGTACAAGTCATATACACAAATTAAACGCATAACAGTTTTAAATTATACAAATTAAAGTCTCAATTAAAATCTAAAAGTAAATCTAATCTCTAAAATCTAATATCAAATTAAAGTCTCTGTCTATTCACTAAATTTCAGTCTCTGTCTATTCACTAAATTTCAGTCTCTGTTTATTCACTAAATTTCAGTCTCTGTTTATTCACTAAATTACAGTCTCTGTCTATTCACTAAATTTCAGTCTCTGTTTATTCACTAAATTACAGTCTCTGTCTATTCACTAAAATATACCCGTGTCAAATACATTTCCACTGCAGTTGTCATATATATTTATGTTTTGCATATCACAGTCTGAAGATTCAGTCCTTTGAGACTTTCCAAAAGATCTGAAACACTACTCTGAAGTTTGTTTGCATCATGTGTACAGTTTACATATTTTATGGCAACCCTAAAACTGCTTTGCGGGAAGCCATCTCACCGAGCCTTTACATTTCGTAACAATATATATATATATATATAGAGAGAGAGAGAGAGAGAGAGACTATTAAACATTTATTCATTTCTAGATTAAACTTACTTAAATTTCCTTAAGTCAGAAAATCAATAAGAGCAAACCAGTTAATTTAACTTTTTTTAAATTCTTTACAAAAAAGACAGGATCTTGTCTCTCTTCTTTTTTCTCTTTTACGTTTTCGTAATATTATTATCCATTTTGACTCTAGGGAGTTAATGTCGGAGGATGAATTTTTTAAGGACTTCAGTTCTCTTTTATTTCTGAACTTAAAAAGGGTAAAGAAAAATATCCAAATAAGCTTCAAATTAATTTTTTTTATTTGTAACTAAGAAAATGAAGCCATTTCTGCTCATACAGGAATTAATTTCTTCCTCAGTAACTGAGGAAATGAAGTCATTTCCGTTCATCCAGGAATTGGATTGAATAAAACATTTTAATGCTGTTTTGGGGCAAGATAAAAGTCTGATCTTTTAATTGGAATCTCTTAAAGTACTGATGGTATAGGAATAATTCATCAAAGCAAGGGGACATTTTCCAATCTGATTTTTATTTGGGAAATTCCTTTCATACCTTGGACCAAGCGACAGCGGATCAAATGATGTTTAACAAATAATTCTTAGTACACATAAAACTGTCACTGAAGGAAGAAAGTAATCGGATGGATGGGTTGGTTTCTAGAAGGATCTAGGTTGAGCAGTAAATAAAAGTTTCAATTTTCAGTTGAGATAAATCCATATGATTGATGTCTTCAACTACTCTACGGTATACTACAGTGTAGCCATGTAAATTCATAAATACTGCATACATGCAGAGTGAAGAGTGACCCATCCCAAATTAAAAATTTTGAGAATAACGACAAAAATCAATCAGATTTATTTTTGCTAACGTTTCATTTCTGTGTTAATTCTTTTCCTTAACATATGTTTCTTCAGTCGACCTTCACCAGAATTTTAGGTACCTTTAGTCTAAACAGGCAATCAACTTTTAATTTAGAGAAAGGAACTGTAGCAAAATATCAACTATCATGTGTTAGCTTGAGACTACAAATCGATTTGCGTATGAATGAGTGAAATTTGTCATCTGTTAGCTTGGAGAGTTCGAGCTGCAATCGTCGAAGACGAGTTAAGAGAGAAATATTTGAATTTGAGATTTAATACTTTAAATATTTAAATACTGAAACACAAAAAGTAACGAGGTAAATTTTAATTTAATCGTAACACAAGACTTTATTTTGATGAAATCTTTAGTTGCATTTTGCTTTTAATTTGTTTACTGTGATTTTGAAGTTTAGTGCGAAGACGAACATTTGTCGATGCAAGGTGCAATGTATATTAAGCACATGCAATTAGCTTCAAAATTAGTTTAATGTTCAAGTACTCTGTAAAAAAGGAGAAATAAAAAGTGAAGAAAATGTTTCGGAGCTCAAAGGTCATAATATCAAAACATTCACTGGAGAAGGATGAAGTCTTCGCATAGAAGATAGCTTGAATTTGCTACGTAGCAATAGATGATTGATTGTAGATAATTGGAGAGAAAAGCACAACTAGCATGATGGTTAAACATTATTCTTATTTTTGAGCAGAAACAATTCTTTAGAAATACATTTTTTCCTTCATTGGTACAACATCAGGGGTTCTAAACGCGCCTCACAATTTTATATACGCAGTTACATTTTAAACAATGAAGAACTAAGTGAAAAGTCACAACTAAGTGAAAAGTCACTAAGCAAGCCAGTGAAGGCGGCAAAAGAAAATGCGTAGTTACTTCCAGTAGTATTTATAAGCTCGACTCCTTTGTTTTAATGTCGAATAATGATGGGGCAAGAGCTTTCGCGATAACGGAATATTGCAGGTCAGTGCAAAATGCTCAAAAGAGGTTGTATTTATTAAATCAGAAATAAAAATTTTGTTAGTGACTGCCTTTTATATTTCACATTGTTCATATATATATATATGTATGTATAAAAGACGGACACTTGAGATTTACGAGTGAGTTTATAAGGTATTTCTCCGCCTTCTTGGCATGCCTTCATGGTGTGGTGGTCTGCACGCTGGGCGCGTATTCCAGAGGTCCGTAGTTCGATTCCCGGCGAAGACATTGCATTTTTTCACTTCTCCTGTTTCAAAAAAAAAAAAAAAGCTTATGTCTCTACAAGTTAACAGTAAGTTTTAGCGAGGAGCATAAAATTACTTTTTTGTGAGTTGTTTTGGCTTAGATATTAATACCATCAGAGATTGCGCTAATGTAAAAAGGCTTTATGAATCTTGCTTCGTCAACAGAAAAATTTAAGCCATTGTCCTTAGAGTGATGTGGATTCGCTTGCGGGGTTACTCCATGTAAGAATTGGTAGCTGGCTGGTTTGCGTTTTCGTTAGGTTACACATTACTTAGTGCATATCGAATTAAAAATAAATATTGTTACGGATTTTGTATTTAGTTAGCTATTTTTAGTAGGATTGTAATTGAAATTGTTTTATTTCCTGTGCAATGCAGCGCGTAACGAGTTTTAAGAGAAAGCTACACCGAAAAAGTAAAATTACAGTGGCACGCGAAATTAATAAATAGATGTAATTTATATTTAAAACGGAATAAATATAATTGACTTAGCTATGGCCGTAATTATATTCTATTGCTTTCCAAAAATCTCGAGAAAATGGAAATTGCCATTCTCAAGCCCGATTACAAAGCTTTCAAAAGCCGGAGAGAAACATCTCAGTTCAGTTGTTTCTACTGAGTTGTTGTTTACTTAGCTGCTGTAATTCTGAGATCGGATTAGCTTTCTCTACGCTTTGGATTGCGTTCGATTTAACGTTTCAGTAGTTTAAAATATAACTATTGTGTGATATTGTGATAGTGTACGAATATCTTTGAGGAAAAACCTAGCGTTTTGTTACATTTCATGTGATAATAAAAAAAAAAATATCAACTTTTTATCGGACATGTACATTCAATCTATTACGAACCTGTACCCACGCAACAATATAAAGTCCACGAGATTATTACTGAATGTATAGTTACGATAAGTATTGTTCTCTTTATATGAGGATCTTACTAACGGCAGGAGTCTCGCTAATCGAGAGTCTTAGAGGATCTATAATCTTGCTGTGTCTGAAGCAGTTTGCAGACTGAATCAGTCACGCAGTTTTAATTTTAATTTTGCCAAGCTCTTGCCCAATTTTGAAAAAGAGCGGCACGGGGCACGTTTCCGAGGGTACTAAATTTTAACATATCGGAATGTAATAAATGTATGGTAACGAGGCTGTAGAATTATAAGGATATTTTTAAGCAAGAGAACGAAAAATGATCAATGCCCTCCCCGGGACTCGAACCTGGACCTTTCGAATACGCGCCAAGTGTGCTAACTGTTACACCACAAAGGCATGCAGAAAGGAGGGAGAACATACCCTTTTTTACTTCCTTGTACGAAGTAAAAAGGAAATATTGTAATCGCGAAAAGTTTCAGGCAACATATTTCAACGAAAATATCCATTTTGACCGCTATCGAATGCAATTTAACGATGTTTTTGCGTGATATCTGTACGTAAGGACAGAATAAAAGACTCTTTTCCTCCAAAAAAATTATAAAACTGCTTTAAAATTAATTCTGAAGAGAAAATTTCGTGGCGTCTGTACGTACGTATGTACGTACGTGCGTACCTACGTATCTCGCATAACTCAAAAACCAGTAGCCCCATAACGTTGAAATTTTGTATACAGGACTGCTATAACATGTAGATGTGCACCTCGTATTTTGGTTGCAATCAGCCGCACCAAACGTATATGAGTATATTTATATATATATATATATCCACTCTGTTACCCGTCTCAGTGATCTCAGTTTCTTTACTCTTATATGTTTGTAAATTGTATATTTTTTGCTTTAAAAATGACTGAATTATGTTGTTTTTATCTTCCGGTTAAGGTTTTTATGCCTTTCGTAATTCTGGAAGCAATATTTGTACAATTGTCAACAATTTAAAAGCTGTTTAAGTGCGGTTAAGTTTTAAATAACATAAGGACATATTTGTTTACATTTGAAACAGCAGAATTGTAGATTTGTTGCCAATCTAGAGAGACTAAGCTTCGCAACACAAAAATAACGCCTTCATTTATTATTGCGAATTAAGTCATGCTTAATCCTTTCTGGAATTTTTTCGAGGAAATAAGCGTTTAAGATTTACTTCGTAATTTTTAATGCAGATACTTTGAGTTTTTATGTATTTTTGCCTTGTCGCGAAGTGAGAACTGAATTAATTGAATGAGAAATACTAAATCGTCTGTGAAAAACTGTTTCTTTTCTGTTTTGTTTGCTTAATTTCTTTCATACATCGTTTTAACTTTATTATAGTATTTGAATAGAACATGTGGCAACGATAATTCTTCAAATGATATAAATTTTGTGCACTCAGAGTGTCGTTATAGTAAACAAATATAGTGAATTTTAAAGAGTGCATTTATTCTATTGTGGTTTATGCGCTGTGGACGAAGTAGATTTAATGCAATCCAATCAATTTAAATGAAATTCAAGAAAAAATGCGTGTAATTTAATATTCCGTACAAGGAAGTCATGTGGTGTACACATCAGATTTTTTATATATATGATATATTTTTATTGATTTTTTTTTTTTTTATGAAGTTGTTCTGCAGAGTAAAATTCTGCACGGAATTTTTTGTTTTTTGAGTTTCTTACATGTTATTTTTTCACTATTTGTAAGATATTGAAAAGTTTTGCATGATTTTTTTTTCTTCAACGGAAAGTTGGTTAATTTTTTATTAGGATAATTAGTATGTGTATTAAGGGATATAGCTTATTTAATTGTAATTTTTTTAAATAGAAAAAAGTTCTAATTTAAGTTTTTCTAATAGTGAAGTTTCGTAAATTGAGAATTTTTAAAGTGAGAGCCGCGTATAAATTTCTGACTACATACTTATCTCTCGATATTCTGTATTCCTAAGTCAACAGACAAGACAGGTATATTGCTAAAATTGATTTATTTTCAAACATTCAAGATATCTTCCATTTTCTCGATATAGGGAATAGTACCTACATATCATCAACATGCAGAAATTTTCTTTGTACATTTTCCTTTGTAATTTAATTTTTTATTGAAGGATGAGGCTCATTTTTATGTTCTTTGGCTGAAATTATGAAATTAATGTATTAAATATTGCATGAAATGTGTCTGTTTATCATTATCAAAATATGCAAGTAGAAAAAACTGGAGCTTTTGAACTCTTATTTATATGATGTATACTTTCCGGTATTACTGTTCATTCTAGATGGTGAAATAGACGCAAGAAAAACTATGAATTCCAATTTTGATTTAAAGTCCTAATATACTGGAATCTTTACCTTAGAATAAAAAATCTCATTAAGCTTCTTAGAGTTTCAGTACTTTTAGTTGTCGACAGAGATGAAGGCAATTTTAAAATGCTGAAATAGTTAAGAATCAAATTTTGATTCTCTTTCTAATTAAACTATATTACATTGAAAATGTCAATGAAAAGTAATTTAAAAACATTGATTGGTGGTATTTGTTCGTAAGTCTCTTCAACTAATCATGCTAATGAGCATTGATTGGTAGCGATTTATTTGTAAGTCATTTCCAATAATCGAGTCAGGAGAACAAATATATCTAAGTAAAAGTAACCCACTTTCTAAAACATCTGCATTATTTAAATGTTTTCAATATTTCTTATTTTTTCATAGTACATTATCCTAATGGTTATTCTCATTATTAGGCAACTGCAAGTACATCGCATCACAATGCACAAGAATCTATTTGCAGCTCTTCTTCTGAATGCTGCACTCGCAGTCTCATTTAAGACTATTGTCATATTGGATGAATTGGACAATTCCGGAAATAGAAGGACTATTCTTGAAGAAAACTGGGTGAGATAATAAAATCAATACATTTTAAAATTTATTTGTGAATTTAATTTTTGTTTTCGTATTTTAACAAAAGTTAGACTTATTGTTTTAATGTTAAAGTAATTGCTTTAATATGGATAAATCTAATTCTAATTAAGTTTTATAAACTTGTCTCTAGTAAATTTATATCTCTAATAAAGTATAATATACTTTCCTCTAATGAATAATAAAATATTATCGATTAATGCCTGTTTGAAAGGAGTAATACAACTCTTTTAAATAAGAGTCAAAGTGATTGGACAGGATCTTCATTAACACTAGAAAGACGGTATTTTTTTTCTCTTGCTAAATGGTATAAAATCGTCCGTTCGACGGATTAAATTGAAACAAAGAATAGAATATATTTAACGTATTTTTATAAACAAAGTTCATTAACTTAAATTTGAATTTTCTCTGACAAATTAAAACATAAAATACATTTGGATATTTTAAGAGCATTAATAATGAGATCCAAAATGTCATTTTAACTAAAAGTAAAATAATGTTGACCTGTCACTTTAAGTACCTGGAAACATATCCATGTAATTACACAAAATTAATGTAAATAAATAATTTAATTTGAAATTATACGTATACAAACTGTACTGTGCTGCCACTAAGATATATTCAACTTCCCATTTTCCACTGATCAAATTCTATTAAGCGATATTTTTGCATTTAATCAGTGCTAATTTGTTTTCTGCAGCATATATATTTAGTTCTGCTTTTATTTTATTTTCCAATTTGGAACTGTGTATAAATATTTAATTTTGATGCTTAAAAAAAAATTTGTGAAACAAAGCGTGGAGCATATTTGGTAGGCATACATTTTCATTGACGTGTTTTAGAAAACTGCAGTACAAAAATCTTTTTCAAAAATTTTGCCTCCCGTAGCTTTTTCATGCTCAATCTAAGCACTGACTGCAACCAAAAATCTAAAATATTATAGAACACATCCATTAGCTATCTGAATTGTATTGAAGAATTTTGACTATTTAATCTAGAATGCCAACATCATATTTCGTAGAATTAAGAAATTCTACATTCTGGGCAGTTTTTCTGGGTTCTTTTTAATATCTACAATTTGATAAATAATGCTCAGGGTTAATAACTTTATATTCTTCTACTAATACACAATAAATTATGATCAGTGTGTCTATAAACAAAGGTTGAATAAAAGGGATGATTGTGTTTATGTGACCCACTGAAAGGTTTATCTAATTTTCATTCGAAAATTTAGCATTTCACTAATACATAGCATTGCATCATGAAAAATCGCTGGTTTTTCCACATCATATTCATTTTGCGCAAGAAGCTGTCCTTCTGTCAGACTGTTCTGTTTGACTGCGACTGTCAGACAAAAACCATACTGCCTTAAAATTTGTAAAGGACGAACCAGCGTTTAGTCCCTCTTCGATGGCTATAAGCTCACTCTTAAAAACCGCACTGAAGTCAGATTTCCTTTTATTTATTTTAACAATATTTCCATTTGTACATTTAATGACAACTCCACTACCGGAATGAAAGTCCTCGCTTTTACTCCCATCAATATAGATAAGGGTAGCTTTAGTGGGAATTGCGTATATAGTTTCTAAGACAGATTGTCGTAACAGTGACGGAATATAATTTTTCTTGGAAACTCGAGACAAAAGTTCCTTATGAAACTCGACAGATTGGAACGACAGACGGAAGATTGCAGAAGTATTTATTTACACAATACTATTTTAGGAGATTATTTTAAAGGATTCGATTTTGTTTTCTATAATGCTGTCTAAATCGCGACAGTAGATTAAATAAGTATATAACATATTGTTACGAATTTGGTATTTAAAAAGCTAATGTTAGTTCAATTATAAATTAAATGGTTTTATTTCTCGCGTAGTGCAGCGCGTGACGAATATTAAAAGAAAGCTAAGCCGGAAAATTGAAAATACAAGAGCGCGTGCATTAAATAAATAAATATCTCTTTTTGATTTCGAGAAAGTACTGGAAAATTGAAAATACAAGAGCGCGTGCATTAAATAAATAAATATCTCTTTTTGATTTCGAGAAAGTACTGGAAAATTCTAGCGCGTGATTTTAAAATCTTATAAAAGGAGGAAAACATCTCAGTTCGTAGTTGTTGCTTAGTTTGTTGTTGTTTAGAAAACTGCTCTTGTTGATTGTAGCGAATTCGCGGATTAGCTTTCTTTTAGCTGTTTTGAATTACGTTCTATGGACATTTGAGTAGTTAAAAGATAACTACTGTGAGATATTGTAATGCTGCATTATAATTTGAGAAAATTTAAGCATTTTGTTGTGTTTTGTTCATTTTTCATCGGACTTGTGCATTCCTTTCATAACGAACCCGTACGCACGCAACAATATTTTCCCCTTTTCATAACTGAATAATGATTTTCAAAGGTGTATGTGTACATCATATAAAGTAAGGAAAAGTCATAGAATTTCAGCAATATGTATGTAATGCATACGTAACTATCAAAGGTAATTGTCGAAAATGACAACCGTATTCTTTCTAGTATTAAATAATTATGGAATTTTATAAAGCCTTTGAAAAATATATATTATTTGAAACAGATTGGAAGTGATTTTATTTAATTAAAACATTCAAAAGATTATAGCCCTGGGCTTTCGGCACATGCAACAGTATTTGACACATAATACATTCGAAATTATGTTAAGTGCAATATAAGGCTAAATGACCGTAATGATTGATAATATTTTTAGACGTTTTTCTTTGTTGAAACTGATATTACTTTCAATATACACTTCCAAATGTTAAAATATTGTGTTTCTTCCAATCGAGCATATGTAATTTAGAAACTTTCTAGTTGCAAACCATTCTTCTATAAGTTCGGCCAATGCTTCACATTGAAAATCATTGAATCGTCAATTTTCAAGATGATGGTTGGGTAGAAACGAACTTATCTAACGACCTGCTTATCTAACGAACTTATCTAACAACTGAGAAGTAGGGGCCAAATCTGGCTAAATACTCGCGCCCCTGCAACTTTATCAAAACTGTGGGTTACAGCGAAAGAATCCATAATGTCATTCTTTTCAAGGAATGAATCATAGAAACAACTACAAGCGTTACAGCACATGCCCAAATATTGTTTTAACATCTGCTGCGCTGTTGGTATATATTGAGAATTTTTTATTTTGTTCATGATTGTTTTGAGAACCAGGATTAAATAAAAGCTCTTTCCATAATAAAAGCCGTATTTCACATAACGCATACTTCATAAAGACTTTCGCTAGTTACTCTCAGAGGCTCTGTATTTGATCTTGCCTGTACATGTAAGGTCACACGATCAATTAGACATTTATCATGATCACCAACGTAGCCAAAAATCATAAGTGTGAAAGTGAAGGATATGTGAATTCATATATTTCATGTCAGTAGGATGTTTATTTAATCAATCATTTCAACAAGAGCTCAAAAACTAAGGTCCATTATCTTGTTTGGATATTTTAACTAATCAATGATTTAAGAGTGAATCATACGTGAAAATTTCAATTCAACGAATGTTTACTTGCTGGCATAGACTATTTAAGCCATCGATTCATGCATCTATTGCACTAAAACTTTTTGGAAAATAAGGTGTTATTTTATTTATTTTTCTGTAACTGTATGCTTGCAAATGTGAGCTATCAGCTGAGAGTATGGGAATGCTGGAGTTATACTCATCTTGTTTTAAATTCTGTCATAACAATTATTATATGTCTTGATACGTAATGGCTTTAGAAATAATTTTGGCTGCGTTTCTCCAAAATATTTGAACTGTTGCTTTGGTTTCAATACGTTTCCTTACATTAGGCTAATATGCATTTCTCATCCATGGGGATTGGTAAGTGTTGAATTGCGCGAAATATATTTTTAATTTAATTTGCATGAGACCATGCAGATAGCTAGTTTTAGAGTGCTAGGGTAAGCCTAAGATCTTAGTTTATGTTTCAAATTTAATGAGTTCATAATTTCTTAAAAAACTGAGCATTTTAAATACAATAAATGAACTCCTGTATAGTTTGAATCAGTATTTTATATTTTGTAGAGATTTATATCTATTTTAAATAATCAATTTTATTTAATTTGTTATTCTTTCCTATAAGCCTTCATTCCTCTAATTGTCAGTGCCAGAATATTTAAATTTGGTAGCGCGTGTGAAGGAATGCAAATTCCACCTTGAAGAAGAGTTTAAAAAACCAAGGTTCAGTAAGTAGGAAAGAGGGAGAGTTAGACTATTGCCCTCACCTCTGCTGCTTAAGCGTCTGTTACCAGAGTTATTGCTGGTTCGCGTGGCTGTCCCTAGTTTTCGACAGGGGTTTAATATACAGGAATTATTCTGAGCCCTGTACTTTAGTTCGACGACTTGTACACATCTTAAATATTTAGTTAATTTTTTTTTATTTCAGTTACCTCCCATGCAGAAGCGTAGTTTGTTAGCGTCGAGCTGACACATTATAAAACTTAAATAGTTAATAAAGGGTACTTCGAACCCTTCTTCTGTGCCGTTACTACTCTTACAGTTTTCACACAGGAGTTACTCTAGTGGACTCTACATTTTGAATAAAATATTTAATTGATAATATATCTAAAATATTTTGATGACCATATGCAGCATTATTGCATTTAACAAATGGTGTATCTAGTGCTACGTATTCTGTTCCTTCGTGCGGAATTGTGCTTTGTTTTTTAAAAAAACAAATTGCTCTTTGAATGACATTTTGCTTTGATTACTGTTTCTAAATTAAAACTCCGGGTATGGGCTTAATAATAGTTTACAATGTTTCGCAGAATTTCTGTCATATCATACACAGAAATTAATCTAACTTGTACAAGTTACATAATAATTGCATGAGCTTATTTTCACTGAACTATAAATTTTATGTTAAAATATGCATGTTAACCTTGACTTCTGTAAGTGGATATAGAAGAAAGTTGTTTTGTTGCGTTCTTTTTTTTGTTTCTATATAGCAAG